AATACCAATTTTTTTATTTATTAGTCTACTGGTATTCATGGGAGTCCATAAAAATATTTCTAGTACGCGTGAACCTTTATCCAATATTTTCAACTAATGGGTCGTCCTCATACCCCGTTCGGTATGAGTACTAAAAAATATCATCCCTCGATACTCCAATCTCGTATGAGGGTGGAACGAGTTGTCCTTATATCCCGTCTGGTATGAGTGCAAAAATATATCATCATTCAATATCCCGTCCGGTATGAGGGTGAAACGGATCGTCCCCATACCCCGTTCGGTATGAGCGCCCAAATACAAAATCTCAGTACTCCGTCCGGTATAAGAGTGAAACGGACCGTTCTCATACCCAGTCCAGTATGAACGCCAAAATACAAATTCTCGATACCCCATCCGGTATGAAGCAACGTTCACGGTATGATTTGTTATGTATCCGATCATTTCACCATCTCCCAGGATATCCAGTAAAGTTATTATTCATCAATTCACTTAATCAAATAATTTTTCGTTTACTTGTAAATAACGTAAAACAAATAATACATGCATTAAGAAAACACAATCGAAGCATCATACTAATTTCAGTGTATTATCATGCATTCAAAACTGTAAAATCAATCAATCAGTTAAACATGACAAACAGTAATAAATAACCAGTTCCAGTTCTATCAGTAACATTTAATTATCGATATTTTAAAATTACGCAAAATATCATATTATTTATAATTAAACTTCAATTTCATAACAGATAATAAGGTGATGAATTCTTACTCGAATCGATGTCTGAAATATTAAGCTTCCAGTTGCGCCTGCTGGCGATTCCCGGGTTCCTTGAATTTTTCTTTGGGGATTAAAACTCGCTCCAAATATCGGCGGCGGAGTTTTCCGGTGCAGCGGCTTCGCCAGCTCACATTCGCAGTTGGATGTTTTATTTCGGTCAACCTATAGAAAAAGAAATGATGATTACAATAGCGAAAAATTTACACGAAACGATAATCGCAAAGAGCCTCATCGAAGATAATTTTTGATTTTTTTCGCGACAGCGGCACCAGATTTTACCCGTAGTTTTCGGCTCATCCGCTAGTATTTTGCTCTAATTTGGCTATCGGATGTTCAAAATTAAATTTCGAGTAAATATCAATTTTTTTACTCTTTTGGCAGTTGGAAGTGAATCCGACACGATAGTGGGTGGCTGTCGGCTCCCTTCCTGGCGATTGGTTCTTATTCTCCCGTCGGATGGGGGGGGGGGGGGGGGGGAGGGGAGAGGGCTAGCGACTAGGGTTAGGGTCTGGTGCGAAGTGAAGTATTTATATCAGTTTTTTTTAATATGGGTCGTCCATCATATTTGATCTGGATCGTCCGATCGCATTTAAATAGGAAATGAATCTGAACCGTTCGTCGTGATTTGATTTGAACCGTACAATCGCGTTTAAATAAATAATGAATCTGGATTGTTCATAACGTTTAATCGCGATCGTCCAATCGCGCCTAATGAGGGAACATATCTGGACAGTCCACACGCGCGGGAATAAATCTTAACCGTTCGATCGCGAGCATGTAGATCGCCAGCGTGGCCTCCCACGTGGCACCGCATCAGCGTGCCTTGTCACGCGGCGGGTTCCGATTCATCGAGGTTGCTGACTTTGCGATCTTACGTGATACATTTTTTCTAAATTACATTTTGATCTCCAGTTTTCGATTTTTATTTCAAAAATACCATCAGAATCTAAATTTTTTCTAATTTTACTCAAGAATTATTTTCAATTTCATCATTCACCTATTTTTCTTCATTTAATTTTTACATTAAATACAAATTTATAAATTAAAAAATTAAATTTTATATATTAATTTTAAATTTTGTTAAAAAATTAATTAAGAGTATTACAATATGCCTATTTAAATTCATAGTAGTTTATAATACATATGTTAAAATAGTATCATATGCACGAGACTTTTTAGTAAGTTGAGCTCTGCATGGACTATTCCTCTGGAGTAGTCACCTATCAAGTCCACATTAGTATATATATATTTTTTGATAGATTATGGTATAATAAATTTTTTATTTATTCTATAAGATAATTAAATTTTATATTTTATTTATTATTTTTGTGCTAATTTAAAATTACTTGTCATTATGGATTATAATTCAATAATAAACTTACTTCACCAGTAACATACAAAATATTGTTATAAAAATTAAATAGAATTATGATTCCTCATTTCGTTTTATAAAACATTAAAAAGTTAACATTATAAGTTATATGGTATCTACTTAATAAATAAATAGAGATATTGAACATAAATAAAAAATATTTAAACAAAATAAAATTGATATATTTTTTTAAAAAGAAATTATATAATTTGTTAGATTTATTTTAAATACAACCTAAATTGTACCTGTAGCATCTTAAAATTATGTCGTCAAATTAAGTTTAAATGATATTGTGTACTTAAATTTAATTATAAGATGGCACATGTTCTAAATAAATTGATAATTTTGTATTTTTTAAATAAATTTTGAGTTAATCTAAAAATGGCTGTTTTAAAATTGCTATTACTGTGATTTTTTATATGTATTTTTAATAATTTTAACAAGAAATTATTAAATGAATATATATTAACTAAACACCATTAATACACTGACAAAAATTTCGTACTCACGTGTATAACTAGATTCTTTTGTTAAATCACACGACTCGCCAACTAAATTGATGAATTCTTTTTCCCGTATTAGTTTCAAAACCAAATTAATTTAATATAAAAAAACAAATAGAATTTTATTATTTTTCCGGGCGAAAATCAAAGTAGAAAACAACAAGTAATGGAATGGTTTAAATCGTTCAAATAAATTTCACTGTTTGTTTGGTAATCGTTTCTGGCCTACTTCCACTTCAATTTTTTATTTTTTAAAAAATAACTGGGACGGACCGAGAATGATCCGAGCCGTTAATTTCCAACAATGATCCCGGCCGTTCGTACACTCCACTGCCGTGTCAGTCTCCTCACTCCACACGTATACAGCATCAGCTCGTGACAATTCCGCCTGCAAACCCCAGACACATTCCTACACCCGTGAAGCTTTTGGCTAACAACAACCTTTCACAAACTTACAAATTCCTTTTTTCTAATAAATTAATTTTTTTTAAAAGTAAAATAAACATTTCAGAGTGACATTTTCATAATTCTCCTTTAAATTTTTAATGAAATTTCTGTACTGACATCTAATGTTTTGATTCCATAATTTTGGTAATTGAAATAATTTTTTATACTATTAAATATATTTTATAAATTTCATTAAATATCGCCCTTTTTTTTTAATTATTATTACAATTTCCTAATTGCGTGTTTCAGCCACCACTCACTTCAAGACAAGAACAACAAACACATCAACTTAACGAGAGAGATAATCTCCTGCGTCGCCATGCAGGTACATCACCGCAGCCGCCATGTCACCATTGGGCTCACCGACAAAAGAACGCGGCAGCCTGGGCCCCGCACCATTCCATATTTTGACTATCCGTGCTCGTCGTCGTCGCATGTAAGACATTTAAAATCCCGTAAAAGACTCACAATTAAAAATTAACTAAATCTCCCAGTAGTTATTTTTTTAATAGTTATAGTTTTTCAAAACATTTTCTTGCATTCATTATCCGTTAAATCTGGAAGAGAAAAAAAAAAAAAAAACAGTAAAGCGGTGCCGTTTTGCATTTTTACACACGATATCTTAGGATCTGCCCCGGAACTGATTAAAGCCCGTCATCACCGTTGAAAATCCATCATTAATTAACAGCACCATCATTATAGAGTGAAATTAAATGAGGTCCGCATGCCTAATTATATAATAAATTAGTGCTTTACAATAATTTTTGCTAATTAATTGTCGAGCAATAAGTAAATTTTTGCGGTAAAAGTAGAATTTTGCAGTTATTACCAAAAGAGGAGGAGCAAAGATAAATTGATAATGAGTATGTTATGCCATCAATTCAAATATTTTAATATTAATTTGTATAGATATTATTTATTATAATTTTTAAAAATTATTATTTCAAGATTACTGATATTCAATAATTAAATAATTAATAATACAAAACGCGAGTTTATTGTAAGCTAACATAATAATTTGTTTTAATTAATATTTATTTGAATTTTCAGTCAAATAAGTATATGTAATTTTGAAGAATTTTTTTTATTAGTCCATTTGTATTACTATTCTTAGTGCTTGCGATCCGTCTAATTAATTTGAAAGTTATGCGACGTTCCATATAAAAATTAAAAAAATTTAAATTAATTTATAAATAAAAAAAATATTAGATGCCATAAATCTCCCATTTTCTCAACCTCAGTCATCCCCCTTATTCTTTCTTGATTTCTATTAGCAGCACCATAAAACACGTAACTTGATGCACAAAAATCGAAATCAAAGTGCTTGCAAATTCAGAATTCAACACTTTCAAAATTTAAATCGAAATAAACATAAATAATATTTTGAGTCAAAGTGTAAAATGCAAATTTACCAAATTGAAAGTATTTGGAAAACTTTTTGACCTGTTTTTCTATTAAAAAATTGTAGTGGCAGTAAATAATTTTTAGATACAACTTGGATTTAAATCTTAAAAGTGAGAATCTAGCATGATATTTTCTTCTAAACGAAGGGTCGGTTGTCCGGAGTCCACTAATTTCGGGGCAAGTCAAATGTGATATATTGAATATAATCTTTATGAGTTTTCGGAGTCTATTTAAATTGCCTCCATTCTATGGATCTCAGATCTATAAATTCTATCACCATTCACACCTGCGGCGGTGGTAAAATAAATCTTTTCTTTCAGTAAAAAAAAAAAACTTACTATACCCTTTTGGTTAAAAAAAATTAACCCACTGCATTCATTCTCTCTCACCTAATATTAAATGAAGATTACTGTTAATATTAAATCTATTAATTGGGGATTTGATTTTTACGGCATTAAAATAATAATTATGAGAAGTGAGGGAGTCGACCTCTGCTGAAGAGGTAGATAACAATAGATTTAGATGTATGGCAAGCTTCTTTATTAGGAGAGTTTAGGCAGTGTAAGGGGAGAACATTGCTGCTTAAACAGAGAAGAGAGAGAGTGTGTGTATTAGAATAGAAGAAAGAAGCAGTTTTATACAGCATTTATATTTATGTGTTGTATATCCTTGTAATTCCTGTACTGGGTTCCCGAATCTCAAATCATTTCGAAACCATTCGTTTGTATTTATTTGTATACATATATAAGGGGGTAGTTTCCAGCTCTCCCTTTACCTGTTTCGAGATTGAATCGACACGATATCTACGGCAGCTTCAGTCTCTTGCCGGGTATCGAAGTTGGAGATAGATAGGTAGTTAGATAGAGAGATAGAGTAGGAGAGAGGGTGTAATCGGAGCTTGAAGAAGAAGAGAATCACGAGAAGAACAGCTGGTCTGTAGAGCCGAGAGAACCTATTCATGAATTACCGCTGATTTTCCGGGAATCCTTGCTCTCTATCTCTGAACCAACAAGGTAGTGTTTTATTTTCCTACTGTTTTCTTACTTTACCTTCGCTGCGTTTTCTTTTGTTTTATTGCTACCCTTTGCTGGATTTGCCTGTTTTGGATTTGATTTAGTTCACCTTAGTCCCTTGGTGGATTGATCTAAGATGGGTTTCAGCTCAAATTTTCTTTATTTTGTTTAGATTTTTAGTTTCAGTTCAACTCACTGAACTGAAATGGTTTTCAATGGCGATCAAGTGGTCCTTAATTTCGCTTCGACCTCCAGAAACTCAGTGGAAGTAATTCAGATGTTCTATTAGTATACAACTATATAAATTTTTGCTTGCCCTCTTTATTTTTCTGCGAATCTCCATTTCTTTTCCTTTTCTCCCCTTTTCTAGTTTTAGTCATGAGTTCTTCAAGCTAATAAGGTATCTTCTTATCCTTATTTTCGTTGTTATATTTATTTTCTTCATCAGTTCATTTCGTTCAAGGTTTTTGGATCTACTGATTGGCATTATTGGGAACCAATGTTATCTTGGTACTAACAGTTATTTCCTTAATTATTTTTTACTTGCTTGACCCAACAACACTTGTTACTTTCGCTTAATCTTTCCTTTCTTTGAGCTGATTGACAATGATTTTAATCTTTAATTCTTTATAGTGAAAAATATTTTTGTGCTGGTGTATTTCTGAGATATGGGTATTAATAAGTGAACAAATCTTTCTCTTTTTACGACGAACTTCATTGTGGCACTTATTTTATCAGTTCATTGCGCTCAAACTTGGAATTTCCAGGTTAGAAGATGTCCATGCCGCTGCAGCGAGGTGCGTCTGGGATACGAATCTCAGGTAATAGCCATGATTTATGGGATTCCCAAATGAAGGATAGAACAGAAAAGGAAGATCTAAATAGAAACCGGTCACCTGATAATGGCTACTTGGCCCTGAGGTTTCCTTTTCGATTTCTCTTATCAGATAACTCATCTTCCAAATATGGTATTACCGAGAATGGTTTTATATCCGATTCTTTCGCTGCTGGAACACCAAGGAGTCGCCAAAAACTCACAATGCTACTTCTGAAGATCAGTTTAATTATGATCGTGATTCTTGCACTTACTGGATCCTTTTGGTGGACAATATCCATTTCAACAACATCTAGAGGTCACATATATCACAACTACAGGAGGCTACAGGAGCAACTTGTTTCGGATTTGTGGGATATTGGGGAGCTCTCTCTTGGTCCTTCAAGATTGAAGGAGCTGGAGTACTGTTCTGCAGAGTCAGAAAATTATGTTCCTTGCTTTAATGTTTCAGAGAATCTTGCTCTGGGTTATTCAGATGGTAATGAGTATGACCGGCATTGTGAACATGGCTCAAGACAAAATTGCTTAGTTCTAGCACCGGCAAATTATAGGATTCCTCTTAGGTGGCCGACTGGGCGAGATGTCATTTGGGTTGCAAATGTTAAAATTACTGCTCAGGAGGTGCTTTCCTCTGGCAGCTTGACCAAGAGGTGAGTCTTGCTAGCCAACTTTCTCGTCAGCTTTCATGGTTCACGTCTTTTGTGTTTGACATGTTTCCTTCACGCTTTCTTGTGGTTGTAGAATGATGATGTTGGAGGAGGAGCAGATTTCCTTCCGTTCTGCCTCTCTCATGTTTGATGGGGTTGAAGACTACTCACATCAAATTGCTGAAATGATTGGCCTGAGAAATGAATCCAATTTCATACAAGCTGGTGTAAGTGGACATTAAACTCCTTCGGAAACAGATATGCTGCACATATTCAGTTCCACTGTTAAGATTGTAGATGCCCTATACCTTATGTTGTCTTCTCCAAACATTTCTGTACCGATAGTTTGGAGGATTTTTTAATTAGTATTTCAAATTGTTACACTTGGATACCATCATATCTTATTTCTCCATCGCTTACGTTTCGCTAATTCCTTTTACAGGTTAGAACAATCTTGATATAGGGTGTGTTATGGAAGTTTTGGG